TATTCATTTGTATCCACAGTATGGACATGGTCCTGGGAAAAGTGGGAGCTCTATGTTGAATTGGTCTTGGTCTCTGCCCTTGAGCGGCACCCAGGCTTGGGGTCAGGAGGAAGAAAGGAGACTTACTTGCTGCGGGTTTCTATGTGCCGGGCAGGGCCTCCCCTGCAGAGATCGGTCAGTCCTGGTCCACGGGCAGCAGGAGGCAGAGCCGTGTGCAGAAACGCCCCCCGTAGACGCCACACAGACCCTAAGCTCAGGTGCACGCAGGGGCTGGGCAGGAAGCCAGGCCAGCGGGGAGGCTGGCTGTGAGGCTACAGAGAGGGACGGAGGTTGTGCCAACTGGAGGACGCGGGGCACTCTGACGCATGGCGAGGCGGGCACTCTGGGGAGGACGTGTGCCCAGCGGCACCGGAGCATACCCCCTTTAAAGAGGAGCTAGAAGTTCTGACCTCTGCATAAAATCTCCTAATTTTAAAATGTTAATAACAAATTCCAAATTATAGAAAAATGCCGTGTAAGCCAAAGAACGCATAAACATCTGCGTTTTGTTTTGGCCCCAGGGTCCTGCACCTCGGGGAGGGGGAGGGGACGGGGCAGGAATGGGACTGGGGGTGGGAGCCAGGGCGGGGGTTGGAGATGACTTCAGAGGGTGATGGCTTTGGAGCCGGGATCCTGAAGGATGAGTAAGTATCCCAAGGGGGGTTGGGGGAGGCATTCCAGGCAATGGGAACTCCACCAGCAAGGCCCAGACGTTTGACCGATATTGGTGCCTGGCTGGGAGAGGCTGGAGTCTAGGGGTGGTGATGTCAGCAAGGCCCAGCAGGCCAGCGTGGCGGGGGACATTGAGGCCCCAGCCTCAGATGTTCTTGAGGCCTTGGTGGCTCCAGGGGGATTAGAAGCCCCCCAGTTCTTTAGCCCTGAGCCACAGGGGAGTGCGGGCGGGTGGGGAGGGCCTTGGATTGCTGGCGACAGGCCTGGGGTGGGTTGCAGGGGGCTGTGCTGGAGGCCCCCCCCCCTTGCTGGCAAGCTGGGTGGTCTGCACTTTGTTTACAAAGCAACCGGCTTTCCTTCCACCTTCTCTGGGGACAGGGGCTGCTCTGCGCTCTGTCTGGCCTGAGTTTTGCCGCAGCTTACCCTAAGCCTCCTGGCTTCTGACTGTGGATCCATCCATCCAGCTCCTGGGGAAGGCCATGGCCTCCAGAGAGGAGGCTTGTTTTCAGGCATGCAGTGAGGGGAGGGGGTGCTCTTGGCTACCTGGGTACCCCCATGTAAAGAGCAGGCCCCCCCCCAGTCTGTGGCAGGAGCCAGCACGCTCTCCCCGCCTGACTCACGGCTGCTGCGGACGTAGGGGTGAGCGAGAGGGAAGTGCTCTGTGAGCTCAGTTGTGAGCACGCTAAATAAGCGACGAGGGCACGTGATAACAGCAGCTGTGCGCCAGCCCTGGTTCTGAGCATTTTATATATCAGCTCATTTAATCTTCACAACCTTGGGAAGTATGTAAAACTTTCCTGTTTTAAATACCAGGATACCGAGGCCCTGAGGAGTTAAATAACTTGCCCAAGATCACACAGCTACTAGGTGGCGGAGCTTGGGTTTGAAAGAAGGAGCCCTGGGCTCCATTCTGCACGTGTGACTGGTGAGCTCTGTTAATCTAGGACTTTAGGTCCATGGGTGGGCTTGAGGGGCGCTCTGAACTTGTTAAAATTGTTACTTTTTCCAGTATATGTGCGTGTGTGTGTGTGTGTGTGTGTGCATGTGTGTGTTTTACATGCCATCCTTCACTACTGTGAGAAAAGGGATTTACTGTTTTGGAGCAGTTCTAGGTTCACAGCATCACAGGGAAGAAGGCACAGAGATTTCCCGTATGCTCCTGCCCCCAACGCGCACAGCCTCCCTACTATCGCCTGGCCCCACTGAGTGGTACATCCGTGACAACTGTCAAACCTACACTGACACGGTGCCTTATTGCCCAGAGCCCACAATTTACGTTAGGGTCCCCTCTAGGTGCCGTGCACCCTCCGGGCTTGGGCAAACGTAGAATAACATGACTTTCGCTGCCAAACAATCGCTCCTTGCTTCACTGATTCATCTCCCCAACCCGCAACCTCTGGCAACGCTGGGCATTTCTTTTTTAATGTACATATTTTTTATATCTGAAAAATCTTGTCGGACTCCCACAGGGGTCTATGACCCTCAGACGCCTGGGCCTCAGTGGATTGCATCGTTAACATGCTGATAGGCTGTTACTGTGACAGCTGGTGGGCCAGCCACTGCCGTGCTCAGGCCTGCGGGGAGTAGTGGGGTTTGGTGGCCAGCGTGGGCAGGGCACCATCAGGGCATCAGGGCATCCCTACCACTGTGCTTCTGTCCTGGCCCCAGGCTGAGGGGTGGGGCTCGGCTGTGGCCACAGGCTGCCTCATCAGTGGCCAATGGAACATGGTGTGCATAAGTAGGACCAGTCACCCCAGGCTTCCTGGATCTGCTCTGGACACCTGCACCTTCTTGCCCTCTTCTCAGCTAGAATTGCAGGGAGTCCCTGGAAAGTGCTGCCTTATCCCCAAGCTGGGCATGTGCCATTCCCTCTTCCTACCCCTGGTCAACCCTTACTTCTTGTTCTGTTCAGCTCAGATGCCACCTCCTCCAGGAAGCCCTCCCAGTCCCCCCTCCCCCCTCCAGAGGGGTTAAGCACCCCTCAGTTCTCCCAAACACCCTTTCCTGCCCCCACTGTCCCCCTGCATTGTAGATGCCTGTTTTCTCGGCTGCCTCTGCTTCCCTGGGGTGTTGGCACATAGCGGGGACTGAAATGTAGACTATCAGAGGTGGAAGAGCCCCCAGAAATCATCTCCCCCAACCCCCCGCTAAAAGGCAGGAAGTGACGATAGGGTACGCTTGAGGTCACACGGTGCCTCGTGGCAGAGCTGGGACCAGACCTGCTGTCCCGGCCATCTCCTCGTTTATCAGGCAAAAGGCGGAAAATGGAAATCACCCAGAGATAATCACTGTTAGTGCTTTTTTTGTGTTGAGCACCAGTTTCTAGCCTATGCACAAAAACATTTAGCAAAAATATGACCATACATACGTACAGACTGTTTTATAAACGTTTTCTGCTTTAACAATATATATGGTAATTACATTTCTATGCCAGTGAATGTACTTCTTCGACATATTGTAAATGGCTGCCTGAGATTCCATCACAGGCTTGCGTTGTGATTTCTGAAGATGTTCCCCTATTGTCGGGCATTTGCTATTATAAACAGCACTGGGATTCGTATTCCTGTGGGGAAACCTCTACACACTTCCGCAGTAAGTACCTGGAGGGTGAATCCGTAGAAGTGCCCCTGTGAAGTCTGGAGCATGCCGTGCCCACGGCGAGCACGGAGCGCACCGTGTAGTCCAGGGGCTGGGCAGGAGTTCACAGGTCTTTACTCCCAGGGCCGTGCCTGAGCCTTGCCTTCCACCCTGGCTTCTCTCGCCTTCCTTTCTGGTCCCGGGGAGCCCCCCTGCTGGCTTCCAGCAGCTACGGCTGATAGGAAGGTGCTGGGATTGCTGGGAAACCTCATCCCTGCGGCTTTGACTCGTGTTTAAGGGAGACTGGAGGGCTGTGCTTGGGCTTGCTGTTTGGAGTGAGGGAGTTGGGGCCTTTGTGCGGTGTGTGTGTGGGTCTTCATTGGCTCCTTCTGGTGAGATGCGTGCAGGTGGCATGGCCTGGGTCGGGGGTTCAGGCTGAAGGGGGAGGCTGGAACCCACAGTTCTGGCTGCCAGGGCAGAAGAAGGCCCAATGCAGGGGAAGCTTCCCCACCCATCTCATGGCAAGCTAGAAATCCTCGGACAGGGTGTTTGGTCACTTGCCGTCCTGGGCCGACATGTGCACCTGTAGGCCCAGCCCCTGAGGATGACAAATGCCTGGTTGCATTAGGGACAAATGTGTCAGCTGCCATTTCTGAGTGTTTCTTGTGCCAAGCTCCTCAGACACGTTTATACGGTGAGTCCCGGCCACAGCCGGTGCTGCCGGGGTGCTGATCTTACAGGGGAGCTCACCGATGCCCGAGAGGTGCAGTGACTCGCCTCTCGCACGGCCGGGACACGGGTGCCCCATGGCCAGGGCTGTGAATCCTGGCTTGGCTGCTTCCGCCAAAGACTCAGTCTTTTCATCTGTCAGATGGGGCTGCTGGGCCCATTCAGGGTGAGCAGTGGATGAGGAAGTGAAGGGAAGTTGGCAAGGACGTGGTGCTTGGTAGTATTTAGAATTCCACGTCTATCTCTCAGGCCTTGCAAGTATTTATTGTCTCTCTTTGTCCTTCCCGTTTCTGGATTTTTCTTGGCCCAGTCTTAGACTCTGATAATAGCAACTACCATTTGTAGGTACCAGGTGCTGGGTACTGCTCTAAGTCATTTATTTATTTATTTATTTATTTTTGAGACAGAGTCTCACTTTGTTGCCCAGGCTACAGTGAGTGCCGTGGCGTCAGCCTACGTCAGCCTACGTCACAGCAACCTCCAACTCCTGGGCTCAAGTGATCCTCCTGCCTCAGCCTCCCCAGTAGCTGGGACTTCAGGCATGCGCCACCATGCCCGGCTAATTTTTTCTATACATAATTTTAGTTGGTCAATTAATTTCTTTCTATTTTTGGTAGAAACGGGGTCTCGCTCTTGCTCAGGCTGGTCTCGAAGTCCTGACCTCGAGCGATCCGCCCGCCTCGGCCTCCCAGAGTGCTAGGATTACAGGCGTGAGCCACTGCGCCCAGCCTGCTCTAAGTCATTTATAAACATTGTTTATATCCATTGTTTAATATCCAACCTCTTGTGAGAGTGGGTACTGTTTGCTTGCCACATTTCACAAATGGGGACACTGAGGCTCGGGGCAATTAAAGAGCTTGTCCCACGTCATGCACCAGTTTGGGCGGCACTACTTGAGCGTGGGCTGCCCGGGTGGGGTCCTGCGTGTCCTCAGTGAGCTGATCCCCGGAGCCCGCGCTCTGACTCTCCTGTTCTCTCCACAGCCTCGGCCCTGCGGGCCCCACGGAGTGAGTGTCATGCGACATCCCCAGGCCTGCCCAGGGTCCTCTGGCCCACTGCCCAGACCCCCCAGGAGGCCCTGACGCCCTGGGGCACTTCTGCTCTGCACAGGACCACCAGGGGGTTTGCCATGGTGACATAAAGGGGCGCAGAGGAAGGAAGGAGCGCGACCAGCCTGCAGACTGCGCCCCTGGCTGGGGGGAAGGGCCTGGGGCCCGGACCCTCCACCCCCACTGCCCACCGAGGGCCTCGCTTCCTAAGTCTCTGTGAATTGCTTGGCCAGCGGACGACTCTCGTGCCTCCTGTGTGGGGGCTTGGGGTGGCCAGGGCAGGCCAGGCCTCCGGTGGCCGAGGTCTGGGGGGGCCAGGATGCCTGCCCTGGCGTGCCTCCGGAGGTTGTGTCGGCACGTGTCCCCGCAGGCCGTCCTTTTCCTGCTGTTCGTCTTCTGTCTGTTCAGCGTCTTCGTCTCGGCCTACTACCTGTATGGCTGGAAGCGAGGCCTGGAGCCCTCGGCGGACGCCCCTGATTCCGACTGTGGGGACCCCCCTCCCGTGGCCCCCAGCCGCCTGCTGCCGCTCAAGCCCGTGCAGGCGGCCGCCCCTTCCCGCACGGACCCTTTGGTGCTGGTGTTCGTGGAGAGCCTCTACTCGCAGCTGGGCCAGGAGGTGGTGGCCATCCTGGAGTCCAGCCGCTTCAAGTACAGAACCGAGATTGCGCCGGGCAAGGGGGACATGCCCACGCTCACGGACAAGGGCCGCGGCCGCTTCGCCCTCATCATCTACGAGAACATCCTCAAGTACGTCAACCTGGACGCCTGGAACCGGGAGCTGCTGGACAAGTACTGCGTGGCCTACGGCGTGGGCATCATTGGCTTCTTCAAGGTACGCAGGGAGCAGGGGCCCCGGACAGTTCAGAGCCCCGTCTCCGCGCTCGTGAGTCGAGTGCCAGACTTCTCATCTGTGAAATGGGTGTAACTGCAGCAGCCACCTCCCGGGGTTGTTGGGAAAGTTAAAGGGGTACGTGCAAAGCACTTGGAGCACACAGTGAGTGCTTTAGAAGTATTAGGGGAGCACAGTAGGGGACAGCCTGCCATACATGGGGTCCAGCACACAGCAGGCACTTGCCTAAAGGAGGCCCTGGGGGTGGGTGCAAGATGGGAGGGGCATGCTCTGCTAGGTACCCCAAAACTGTCACAGCAGTCCTCCCCAAGAAGGGCTTTTGTCTCTGTGTTGCAGATGAGCAAACCAGTGCTTAGGGGGGTTAGGTTACTAATCTGAGAGTATGCAGCCTGTGAGTGGGGAAGCTGAGATTTGAAGCCAGTGTAGACGGTTTGGGCTCTCCATCCCATGCTCGTTCTTCTTGGCTGCAGCTGGGTGTGGAGTTTGTGCACCTCCTGACCCAGGGCCATTTTGCACTGGGAGAAAGAAGAGAGAAATCCCACTGGGTGGGTGGGGAGCTGCTCTGGGGTGCTTGCTGAAGGGTGTCATGGGCAGACTCTGTCCTTGGGAGGGGAGGCTGTGACAGTAGGTGGGGCACCCGGAGGCTGTGGTTGGAGAACCGTGAGCTGCAAGATGAAGCAGGTGCTCGCTGGGACGCTAGCTGTGTGCTCTGGAGGGCCTTGGTCCCTTCCTTCTGCAAGTGTTTACTGGGCGCTTCCAGTGTTCCCGGTGCTGTGCTAGGCGCCGGGGACACGGGGGTGATCGGAAAGGGCAGATTCCCTGCTCTCATGGAGCTGGCGTTTCAATGCAGTGGGAGTGGGGTGGGTGACAGGCAGTGAACAAATAAACCTAGGATGTGGCAGGTGGTGATTAATACAAAAGGAAACAAAGCAGGGAAAGGGCGCAGGGGGTAGTGGGTGTGGGAGCTTGACGCTATTTTTGATAGAACAGCCAGGGAAGTCGTCTTTGCTAAGTGACCTGAAGGAAGAGCGGGGAGGAGCCTTCCAGGCAGAAGAAACAGGAAGTGCACGGGTCCCGAAGCAGCCTCTTGCTTGGCATGAGCGAGGAGAGGAGGAGCAGGAGATGGGCAGGGGTGGCCCATGCCCGCCACGGGGTGCCCACTCTCGCCGAACCTTCCCGCACACTGCGCGGGGCCCCGTGCTCGGTGCCGGGAGGGGCTGGCGTACTGGAGGGTTTCTCACGGCACGTCCTCTCACGCGCTAATGCAGCAGGGAGCCCTGCCACTAGAACGGTGCCGTGAGCCAAGAGCGAAGTCCATTCGAAGTCCTGCAGTAGAGCAGCCCGTTGAGATTTGTCCCCCACCTGGCTTGGTCACAAAACCCTTTCTTTCACAGAGCACCCTTGGGGAACGCTGGCCTGGTTTTGTGGCTTTATAGTGGCATCAAGTCAGACTGTCTCCATTGTCTGTCTTTCTCTTTTCTCCTGGACTCTGTACTCTCTCCTGCCATGAACTCCATCAGGCGTGGTCCAGAGCCCCAGGCCCGGAGCGTGTCAGGATGGCCGAGGTTTATTGGGTGTTCATTCGGTGCCATGCGCCGTCTACATGCTTTCCGTGCGTCAACTCCCTGCACGCCAACTGCCCCGCGCGGCAGGTGGCTAGCATCCTGGCTGAAGAGAGCTTAAGGAATGTGCCCAAGCCCTCATCTCCAATAAGTACAGATCTAGGATTTGAACCCAGGCAGTCCGGCTCCAGAGGTCTTAGTCTTCACTGCTGAGTGATGACTCCAGGAGCCTCGAGTACCATGTACTTAGGGGAAGTCGCATCTGAGGCTGCACGCAGTGCTCGGCGCTCCCGCACTCTCTGGGACCGGGCCGAGGGCTGCGGCCTTGGGCAGTTGGTACAGTGAGGCCTGGGCCCTATCGAGGCCCAGGAGGGTTGGGGACATGCTCAGAGTCTCACTGTGGGGTCGATGGCAATTGCAGGACTTGGTGCTCTTCCTACCCTGTTGCATAAGATGCTTGGTTTGGAGCAGCAGCCGTGTTTTCTGTTCCAGTGCATGCCCCCTGGTGGTCAAGGCGCTTCTCTTGGCTCTTTGCAAGACCAGCCTTGGCGCTGTGTGTGGGGCTGGCCGGATGGGGACTGTTTGTGAACTCAGGGATCTGGAGACACTCATTTTCCAGTTCCCCCGGCGCCGGGTTCCCAGGGCAATGTGAGAGCAAGGGCTCAAAAGTCCAGGAAGGTCCCGATCTTCCTGTCACTTAGAAGCAGAGTGACTTTGGGCAGGATTCTCAACCCATCCGTAAATGGGGCCAATTACAACCCTTGCCTCGCTGGGTGGTATTGAACATAAAACAAGACAGCAGGTGGGAAGCGCTAAGCCCAGTGCCTGGTACCTGGAACCAGTTGACAGCAGCCATCATGCTTCGTCATCTCCAAGTTCAGCAAAAGCAGCGGTGGTTAGCCCCTTGGCTGTCTTGTGGCCCTGACCAACATGTGACCCTGTGAGGTCCTGGAGGTTGGAACGGGGTCATCCTCACCTGGAACCTCAGTTCTTGGTACTGTCACACCTCAGCCTTGCAACTGTGGGTGCCCTGGGGCCGAGCACACCTGGCAGAGGTCTTGCAGAGGCTACCTGGCCTCTATCCTTGAGCACTTATTGCATGCCAGACACTGAGCTCGTTGCTTTTCAGACGCTATCCTGTTTAATTCTCACAACTACCTCATGAAGTAGGCGCTTCGTTTTTAGGTAAGGATCTGAAGCTCAAAAAGTTAAATGGCTTTTCCAGAGTGACATAGCTACAGATTGAGTACCCCTCATCTGAAATATTTGGGACCCAGAAGTGTTTCAGATTTGGGAATATTTACATTGTACTTACTGGTTGAGCATCTCTAATCTGAAAACCCGAAATTTGAAATGCTCCAATCAGCATTTTCTTTGAGCATGATCTTTGAGTATTATATTGGTGCTCAAAAATTTTGGATTTTGGAGCTTTTTGAATTTTCACATTAGGGACACTCAATCTATAGTAGGTCATAGAGCTAGGATTTCATAATCAAGCTTGTTGCTTCTAACCCAATATGAGAGAAAACTGACCGATGGGCAGCCTGAGGCCCAGAGAGGAGATGCAGGGTCCCTAAGGCCATCCAGGTGGTTAATAGTTCAACCTGTGCTGGATGAGACCGCTACCTCCCCATTCCCACATCGGGGCTCTTCCTTCCTCTGCCTGGGTGACCCCACTGGAAGACTTGGTATCTCCTGAGTGGGTCCTCAGTGGTTAGGAGTTGGGGGGACTTCCACTCTGACTATGTCCGTGCTCCTCCTGGGGTGAGGCCTGCAATGGGAGCTGGCCTCTGCCAGGCCAGGCCTCCCTCCTCCCTGCCCCGGCTGGGGTGGGCCGCCAGTGACTTGGCTTTCTCCCTTCCTCGATGGCCAGGCAGCTGGCTGGGCTGCCAGCGCCTGGCAGTCAGCTCGGCGTTGCCACTTTGAAATGGGATCCCTCAGTACCCGTGGTCCAGTGTGGCATCCCAGGCCTCAGCAGGTGACAGGCAGGGACTGAAATGTCTCTGGCCCTCACTGCTTTTGCCCCCACATGGCCTGAGCAGTTCCCATACTTGGCCAGTGCTGGCCTGGGGTCATGGGACGCCTGGAGGTAGGGGAGGTAGCCTCTGAGTGTCGGGCTGTGCACTGGGCCTCACCCCGAGGCTGGCTCGGGACAGGGTGGGGAGCTGGCAGGTACCCCTGTGTTTGGAGAGTGATGTGCAGGCTCCTTATTGTGGTTTACAGGGTCAGGGCCCTGCAGAGCCTCTCTGGGAGTTAGAACAAAGCACTTCCACGTGGAGATTAGTAAAAGGCACTGTTCTGGACAGGTGCAACTCTGTACCTGGGCACAAGGCTCAGCTGAGATTTTACCCTGCTCACCACCCAGCTGCATACCCTCCTGCAGTGATCCCCATCCTCATATAGTGCTCCCCATCCATACATAGTGCTCCCCATCCATACATAGTGCTCCCGGTCCATGTATAGTGCTCCCTGCCTGCGTATAGTGCTCCCTTGGGTAGCTCTCCATAGGGCTCTGCACATGACCCTATATCCCTCTCCAAACTCATTTTGTGCCCTTTGTCCACTCTTGCTTTACCCCACCCCACATGGATCTTTTAAAAATGAAAATTGGAACCTGCTACTCCAGGCTTCAGAACCCTTTGATGAAGTCTTTGATGTCTTCCTGCTGCCACTTAAAGCTTCCAGGGTCCTGCAGGTCTGGCCCCAGCTGATCTTTCTGTCCCATCTCCTCCTCTCCCTCTTGATCACTCTGCTGGCTTCTTGCTATTCCTTGATCATGCTGAGGCCTTTCGTACCTCAGGGCCTTTGCACTTGCTGTTCTTGAAACTTTCCCCTACCTTTCCCCTAGTTGGTGCTCACTTGTTCTTAAAATGTTAGCTTAAAAGTCCCAGGTATGGTCAGTTGCCCTCTGAGCCAACTGACTGTGCCCAGCAACCTACTACTCTTCTACAGCTACACAGCTCCTCTGTGCAGCGTGTGCTACACTGCAGTTCTGTGTTTATTCCTGGGATTTTTTTTTTTTTTTTTTTGAGACAGAGTCTCACTTTGTTGCCCAGGCTAGAGTGAGTGCCGTGGCGTCAGCCTGGCTCACAGCAACCTCAATCTCCTGGGCTCAGCGATCCTCCTGCCTCAGCCTCCCGAGTAGCTGGGACTATAGGCACGCACCACCATGCCCGGCTAATTTTTTGTATATACATTTTTAGTTGGTCAATTAATTTCTTTCTATTTTTGAAGAAGACGGGGTCTCGCTCAGGCTGGTTCGAACTCCTGACCTTGAGCAATCCGCCCGCCTCGGCCTCTCAAAGTGCTAGGATTATAGGCATGAGCTGCCACGCCCGGCCTTATTCCTGGGATTTTTCATGGATGGCTCCTCTTCCCTGCTTGTCTTTACGGTTTATGAGGGCAGGGGCCGTGCCTGTTTTTTCTCACTGTATCAATGGCACTTAATACAGTGTCTCACCCAGTGAATAATTGTGGGATGAACAGACGAAACCTGTACTGAACAGCTTTCATGTGCCAGGTACTGGGGACCTGTCTGTTCCTCTTTCATTCTTTTAAAAAGTCCAGTTACTCATCAAACTGTGTGCTCCCACTGGGTACCAAGCCTGTGCTGGGCACCAGGGCTCCAAAGGTGGAAATGACATGGTCCCTGCCCTCTAGGGGTTGCAGGCCGGTGGGAGAGAGACCCTGAGCAGATAATGCAGCAGCTGAAATGAGAAGTGCTGCAGCCGAGGCTTTAACGTGCTCCCGGGGTCTGGTGTCGGGCAGGTGGGGGAGGGAGGAGGGGATGGGTACATTCACACCTAATGGCTGCAGTGGGCACTGTCTGGGGGATGGGCAGGCTTATAGCTCTTACTCAGGCAGTGCAAAGGCAATATATGTAACCTAAATGCTTATACCCCTGTAATATTCTGAAATAAAAAAATAAATGTAAAAAAATAGAGAGAAAGAGAGAGAGAGAGGTCTCAGGGAGTCCAGTGCAGAGAAGAGGGCACATGCATTGGGTTTTGAAGGATGAGCAGGGCTTGCTAGGCCAAGATGACAGAATGGAGCAAGGACAGACTGTGCCATCCCAGAGGCAGGGGCTGGGAGGGTGAGGAAGGGCATGAGGGAACGGGCTATGAGCCAGGGAGAGGAGATGGGGGGCTGTGGGCACTGTCTGCAGATCCCCAGGAGCTGGGCAGCAGCAGGCCCTGGGAGGAGAAGGGAGGCAGAGACCTCACCATGGCCAGCAGTGACTGGGTGGGCATGGGAGCTAGACTCTGTGAGGGGGTGGCCTTGGGGGCTTCAGGGAGATTTGGGGAATTGGGGCTACTGTGGGGCTCCCCCAGCCCCCAGCAGACACCTCCTCTTTGATCTTCTATTAATACGTTGTTATCCACATAAGATTTCTCCTAAAGAAAGGTTTATGTGGCCAAAGCCAGTGCGGCAGCCCCAGGCAGTTGAGCCTGGTGGTTAGGTACGTGGGCACCAGGGCCAGGCCTTCTGCCTGCGAGCCATGGCTCCTGCTGACCGCCGTGCTCCTGAGGGCAGTGCTCCCTCCAAGCCTCAGTTTCCTCCCTGTGAGGGGGAATAACCAGGCCGATACAAAGACTGAATGAGCGATTGATCATGCCATAGGCCCTGTTCTAAGCACTTTGCCAGCACTAATACTGATCATCCTCCACCACCCTAGAGGTATTTTCTTAGCCACATCTTACAGCAGAGGAAACTGAGGCACAGAGAGGTGACACAACTTGTCCAAAAGCCAGGCAGTCTGGCAGAGTTCATGCTCTCAACTGCTAGACTTTCCTCTGTGATTCAGCCTCTCCAGGCCTCAGTCTGCTCATCTGTAAAATGGGTATGACAGCAGCGCCTCCGTCGTGGGGTCACTGGGAGGATTGACAGCATTCCTGCATGCAAAGTGCACGGAACCCAGTGCCAGGCTTTGGTAAGTGAGTCATACGTGTTCGCCAGTATAGCACCGTGGGAGGGCGGAGCACAGGGCCGGGGGATATGGCGAGCCCTCCATGAATGCGGGCGAATATTGTCGATGTCGCCGTTACTGGTCTACGTGTGAGAGTCTGTGTCCCTTGGGGTTCTGCATCTGATGGCTCTTCCCCTCCCCGCTCCTGCCACCCACCCTGGCTGCAGGCCAACGAGAACAGCCTGCTGAGTGCGCAGCTCAAGGGCTTCCCCTTGTTCCTGCACTCGAACCTGGGCCTGAAGGACTGCAGCATCAACCCCAAGTCCCCGCTGCTCTACGTGACGCGGCCCAGCGAGGTGGAGAAGGGCGTGCTGCCCGGCGAGGACTGGACTGTGTTCCAGTCGAACCACTCCACCTACGAGCCGGTGCTGCTGGCCAAGACGCGCTCGTCCGAGTCCATCCCGCACCTGGGCGCGGACGCCGGCCTGCACGCCGCGCTGCACGCCACCGTGGTCCAGGACCTGGGCCTGCACGACGGCATCCAGCGCGTGCTGTTCGGCAACAACCTCAACTTCTGGCTGCACAAGCTGGTCTTTGTCGACGCCGTGGCCTTCCTCACCGGGAAGCGCCTCTCGCTGCCTCTGGACCGCTACATCCTGGTGGACATCGACGACATCTTCGTGGGCAAGGAAGGCACGCGCATGAAGGTGGAGGATGTGAAGGTACGGCCGCGGCTGCCAGACCGCGTCAGGCAGGGCCTTGCGGGTGTAAGACCTTGCTGAGGCCGCCATGCCTTTGCCTGGTGTGTGTCTCCCCTGTGTTGTTAGTCATTTAAGGTACAGCCCCGCCCCCACTCCCTCCCCTGGCCAGTTGGTTTTTATTAATTGTCTTAAGTGTTACTTGAAATTTTTTTTTTTTATCTTTATTATTGGGATTATATGCACAATGTAAGTTACTTGAAATTTAAGTATTCAATATAGAGGAATATTTGCACCTGAGGTGCAGAGTTCAAAGGTTTATCTATGGAGGAAGAGACCCAATCACCGAAACACAAAGATGGGAGCTGTGCAATGTTATTTATTCGCCTTTTAATTTAGATACAGTTTTTAACTGTTAAAAATGTTTATGGCCAGGCGCAGTGGCTCATGCCTGTAATCCCAGCACTTTGGGAGTGATCCTCCCGGTGGTGGGAGGATTGCTTGAAGCCAGGAGTTCTAGACAGGCTTAGTGAGACCCTGTCTCTACAAAAAGTTAAAAAAAAAAAAAAAAAAAATTAGCCAGCTGTAATTCCAGCTACTGGGGAGACTAAGACAGAAGGATCCTTTGAGCTCAGGAGTTTAAGGTTACAGTGAGCTACGATTGCACCACTGCACTGCAGCCTGGGAGACAGAGAGAGATAATGTCTCTAAAAAAAAAAAAGGAAAAGAAAATGTTTATGTTAATGTCAGAGTTTCCCGAGGCTGGAGGATCGCTCAAGGTCAGGAGTTCCAGGGCAGTCTGAGCTAGAGCAAGACCCCATCTCTACTAAAAATAGAAAGAAATTAGCTGGACAACTGAAAATATAGAAAAAATTAGCCGGGCATGGTGGCACATGCCTGTAGTCCCAGCTACTCGGGAGGCTGAGGCAGAAGGATCGCTTGAACCCAGGAGTTTGAGGTTGCTGTGAGCTAGGCTGATGTCACAGCACTCTAGCCTGGGCAACAGTGAGACTCTGTCTCAAAAAAAAAAAAAAAAATGTCTGAGCAAAACTCTTAAAACAAGAATGAGAGCTTGAATCATACATAAAGGATATTTTAACTGAGATATATATAGATAGTGGAATGCATGTGTCTCACTCAAAAAGTGTTTACCAAACAAAACTATATGTAAAAGCACTTTATAAACCACAAAATTTCACAGACATGTGAACTATGACTGTGAAAGAGAAGCTTCCAAATTAAGACCATTAAGCAATCTTTAAAATAACAGTTTCCATCTACTCACCATGTTACTTAAAGTTATTTGCAAAGGAGCTGGCATCCTGGTGTAAATGGGAAATCAGGATAGGTTGCCATAAATAGAGGGCAACCATAACAATAAATCCAATGAAAACAAAACAGGGGGATTAAATGCTGGAGACTCTGTAGCCTGCTGACAGCCTGTTCTCTCTTATGGGAGATTAGCAAGCGTTAGAAACATATTAGCACCAAACCAAGACTTCGCTTTGATGTCGGTAGGAGGCTTTACAAAGAGACTTCTAAGAGGCATGCTCTTCTCCCTGAGTGTTTCCGGCTTGTGGGTGCTGCGTTCTCCGTGCACCTAAAATCAGTGGTAGGGATTGGCCATGGGGCCTGGAAGGAAGGTTCTGGTGGGGTTCGTCCCCTGCCTTGGTGAGGAGCGAACACTCTGCCCTGCCTCAGTCCTCCGGAGCAGAAGAGCAGAGAGGATGGTATCGGGGAGCAGCCACTGTCTGGGGAGTCAAGACCTAATTTGAGTCAAGTCCCAGTTTGGCCCTGATTGACTAGGTGACTTGGGCAAGTCCCTTTCTGCTTTTGAGCCTCAGCTGTAGCACTCTAGGGTCCATGGGAGGTTCTCAGTCTTTCCTGGTGCCCAGGGTTTTCCCAGAGGTGGCTGGATAGCTAGGGTAGGGGTGAGGAGGTGTTTAGGGGGCCAGGCTCAGCCCTCCAGGCTCCTGCCTCAGCTGGACAGGGCGGAGTTGCTCTGGTCTGCTTTCACGAATCGTATTTCCTCCTGAAATTTCATTCCCCCAAGGGCTCTCCTGTTTGAAGAAAATTTTAGCCTTCCAACTCTGTCTTCATGCAATGCCACGACCCACCTGTGGCAAAGCAGATCGCTCTGTTTTCTACTTAGGATTCTCTTCTAGTGGCCCAAGCTTGCTCTCTCCTGCTAGAGCCCAGGCCCTTGCTTACCTGTCTAGGGGGAGTCCAGGTGAGACTGTGGCCTGGGTTGACCCCACAGGGAAATCAGGCTGCGGGGCTTATCGTGTCCCCCGTGAACCCTGGATTGCCCTCTTTGGTTTCTGATTTTCCCCGTTTTTAAAATGTGAGGAATGATAGCAGTTTGGAGCCATTTCTAAGGAAGCATACGAATAGAAACTATAAATAGAGAAATAGAATACAAATAGAAAAATGCAAACAGAGGCGCCCTCTTCCGTGCGCCCAGCTCAGTTCAGACTGCAAAGTGCTTCTGCAGCCAGGGTCTCGTTTGCCTTAAACATCCTTGTGAGTCAGAAAGGGCAGAGTGTTTCCCTCTTTAATCCCAGGCACAGGCTACAACTGAGCCTTCTTTCAGAGACACGAATGTCGCCTCATTAGCTTGTACAATCCTGGCTGTGCAGCGCGATTTGAATAATAACCAACAGCAGCCGCTTATTCAGGGCGTGGTGGGCGCCAGGCCCTGCGCTCAGCCCTCTCTGCGCTTTGCTGGTCCTCACGGCAGCCTGGCGAGGTGGGTATTGTCATGAATCCCATCTTACAGAGCAGGGCACTGGGCTCGGGAGGCGAAGTAACTTGCCCGAGGCCACGCAGCTGGAGCGTGCAGGTCCCCTAGGCAGTGCGTGGCCAGGACTTTCAGTTTGCAAAGTACCCTACTAACAGGCTCTTAGGGGTTTCTTAGCAGCTTTGTGAATCACGCAGTCCTAACCCCAGAGTACAATTGTCCATTTGTTTCACAAGTGTCAACATCCCTTCATTGACTTGCAAAGTGCTGGGTGTGCCGTGCATGGGAGCATTGCATTGCTGGGCACGCAGTACATGCTTGGAAAGGTCACGATCCTTTGACCTCAGCCTTGCATTCCACCAACAAGGAGAAATCCTTCACATTTGACAGGTGAAGACACAGGCTCACCGTGGCAGCGACCAATAGCAATTGCAACCGTTTTCCATCGCTTACTAAATGTTAGCAGTTGTACATGCAGTATCTCACTTAATTCTCCCAAGAGCCCCAGGAGGGAGATACTATCATCCTTATTTTATACCTGAGGAAACCGAGGCCTAGAGAAGTTACGGAGCTTTTTCAATGACCCATAGCAGAGGCAGGCAGAGGTGCAGGTCTCCTCTGGCCAGGGGCCTGGTGGAGGAGGAGACACAGCTGAAGTTGTGGAGGTCTCCTAGGCAGTGCGTGGCCAGGACTTTCAGTCTGCAAAGTATCTTACTAACAGGCTCTTAGGGGTTTCTTAGCAGCTTTGTGAATCACGCAGTCCTAACGCCAGAGTACAATGGGGGTGGCATTATGGGGGTGCAACCTCTGCAGTCACACAGCCCTGTGCTGAGAAGGGCCCATGCAGGGGCTCATGCTCTGCTTTTGCCTTCTTGACATTTGTCATCATTTGTGAACAAGGGTCCCATAGTTTCATTTCTCACTGGGCCCTGCAAGCTTTGTAGCTTGGTCCCGGAGCACAGGGAGCTCCTGGCCTCCCTTCACTCCCTCCTTTCTCCTCTGCCTAGGCCCTGTTTGACACGCAGAACGAGCTGCGCACACACATCCCAAACTTCACCTTCAACCTGGGCTACTCAGGGAAATTCTTCCACACAGGTAAGCGGGCCTGCCCCTGCCTTTGCTAGCAACTCCCACGGGCTCCGCAGAGCACCATGCCACACGGGTAGCACGAGGGCCTCCTGAGCCAGCAGCCCGCGAGAGCACTCACAGCCCCAGGCAGCTGGGGATAACAGCAGCTGCAGCAACAACTGGGGTTTCTGCTCACCCCTCCCCTGCCCACCAGGCTGTGCTGTCCTGCATGGGGCACCTCCTCCCTCTCGTCTCTTCCTCACCACCCACCTTTTACAATTATTCGTATTCCTTCTTCTTATAAAAGAAACTGGGCCGGGTGCAGTGGCTCACGCCTGTAATCCTAGCACTCTGGGAGGCTGAGGCGGGAAGATTGCTCAAGGGCAGGAGTTCGAGACCAGCCTGAGCAAGAGCGAGACCCCGTCTCTACTATAAATCGAAAGAAATTATCTGGACAACTAAAAAATATATAGAAAAAATTACCCGGGCATGGTGGCGTGTGCCTGTAGTCCCAGCTACTCGGGAGGCTGAGGCAGGAAGATCGCTTGAGTCCAGGAGTTGGAGGTTGCTGTGAGCTAGGCACTCTAGCCTGGACAACAGAGTGAGACTCTGTCTCAATAAATGAATGAATGAATGAATGAAACCGGCTGTATTTGAAGGACATTACAGAAATATAGAGCACAGAAAGTGAAAATGCCTTGTACAACCACCCCAGGATGACAAGTGTCCTAAATTTATTGCAGAGCCATAGGGTTGAGGTTGACGGCTGTGGGTTGCTTGGTTCACGCCTTACTTCCTCTTTCGGGCTCTCAGCTTCCTCACCTGCTGCCTTCAGGGACTGTGCAAGAGGGAACAGCCCCCGAGCTGGCCATCTGTAGTGGCCGTTCCTGTTGCTCAGGCCGCTGTAAGGACAGCCTGTCTTGAACTCCAGGCAAAACTGTATTAGTCCACAGTTCCGAGGAGGGAGATGTGCAACACAGCCCCAGAGGCAAATAGGAGTGATTGCGCACTGGTGGTCTGTCTGCATTTGTATATTCGTGACCCTTAGCGCATCGGAGGTGGTTGTGGTTATACAAAAGAGGCAGAGGGCTAAGCATCCTGTATGCATATGAAGAGCTGCTACGAATCGGTAGGCAGAAGACAAATGGCCCAGGCTGGGTCATTGGAATAAGATCAGAGATGGGAGAAACCTTTGAGATGGTCGACTCTGAACCCCATGTGGCACAGATGGGGCCCAGGGGCCCAGAGAGGAGAAGGTCTTGGCCAAGGTCCCTCACTGAGTCAAGAGCGTGCTCTAGACGAGAGTTCGGGGCTCTGGCCTGGGGCTGTGTCTGCTCCAGTGCTGCGGCTCAGAGCCGCCACTCCAGGCAGCTCCTGGGTGGCCGTGGCCGTGTGCCGCCCTGCCTGGGTGCAGGCCCAGGTCGGAGGGCTCACGGCCGGCGGGCCGGGCTGAGCTGCCTGTGCCGGCTGCAGGTACCGACGCCGAGGATGCAGGGGACGACCTGCTGCTGTCGTACGTGAAGGAGTTCTGGTGGTTCCCCCACATGTGGAGCCACATGCAGCCCCACCTTTTCCACAACCAGTCTGTGCTGGCCGAGCAGATGGCCCTGAACAAGAAGTTCGCTGTCGTGAGTAAGATTCCCTACGGGCAGAGGCGGGCGGGCTAGGGGCCGGGCTGGGGGGCTGGACTGCTGGCCTCTCACTGCCGTCGCAGTTCGCTCTGACGGGTTTTCAATGACATCCCCGTGCCAGGGCCCAGGGCGAGCTGCATTTGTAGCCACCGTCTCCTCCGAGCCTCAAGAGAATAGCCCCACTTTACAGAGCAGAAACTGAGGCTCAACGGGGTCACACCAGTCCTGAGAGGTCCAGCCAGGACTTAAACCCGGGCCTGTTTGTTTCCTGAGCCCAAGCTCTTAGTAGGGCAGGAGGCTCCGGGAAGCTGGAAGAGGTGCTCGATGAGGAGGGACTGAGCCCTGAGTGCCAGGTAGGCTAGCCGGGGCCCCACAGCCAAGTAGAGGCAAAAAGAGGCAGGAAGAGGCCCCGTCCTGTTTCCTCGCTACAGGGTGCTTGAGTCCTCTGCGCTGGAGGGCCTGTGCGCTGGACCAAGAGGCAGGAGACCTGGGTCCCAGGTCTGCCAGTCACTCACTCTGAGACTCTGGGCACGTCCCTTCCCTCCCGGGCCTCCACTTCCTAGTCCGTACCACAAGGGCTTGGACGACGGCCCTGCCCTCCGGCCTCTGACTTTTCTCTCCCATTCTGCAAGGGGGAATAAGGCCCCAGGGGAAGGGCCCCAGGCTCATCTTGCCCTGTCGTCCTCTCCCCAGGAGCACGGCATTCCCACGGACATGGGCTACGCGGTGGCGCCCCACCACTCGGGCGTGTACCCCGTGCACGTGCAGCTGTACGAGGCCTGGAAGCAGGTGTGGGGCATCCGCGTGACCAGCACGGAGGAGTACCCCCACCTGAAGCCAGCCCGATACCGCCGCGGCTTCATCCACAACGGCATCATGGTAAGCGGGGTGGGAGGTTGGTGGGCACAGCCTGTCGTGTGCATCTGTGTGCGTGCGCACGCCTGTGTATATGTGCGTCCCCACGCGCTGTTCCGGGAAGTGTGGCCTAGGGGCTGCAGACCAGTGTCTGCCGCCTCCTCTGGCCGCTGTGGCTCTCCCCCCCAGGGAAGGTGGGCCACCAGTCCGGCCCCTTTCATGAGCTCCTTCTTAGCTTTCGTGACAGAGGATCAAAGTGAGTGCACTTGAAAGGGGTTTCCGATGAGGACGTGGCTCAGGGCTCTGCTGCGTTCATTTGTTTGCTCATTTAAAGTCACTTCTCCAGCCGTTACTATGCATCTGTCCACGTGCTAGGCACTGAGGACATAGAAGTACACAAAACTGAGAAAAGTTCCTCCCCTCGCAGACCCGACATGCTAGGGCAGGAGACAGACAGTGTGCTCATGCATGTGCTAAGTATGGTTACATGGTCATAAGTGCTATGCAGAGAGGTCAGCCAGGAAGGGAGATAAGGAGTGTGTGTGCGTGGGGGGGAAGAGAAGACGGGGGAGAGGAGAGGCTATTTTGTGTTTTTTAGAAGCAGAGTCTCGAGCTGTCACCTAGGTGGGAGAACAGTGGTATAATAACAGCCCACTGCAGCCTCGAACTCCTGTCCTCAAGCGATCTTCCCACCTTGGCCTCCCAAAGTGCTGGGATTACAGGGATGAGCAACTGCACCCAGCTAGGAGAAGCTATTTTATATGAGGAGGTTAGGAGGGCCTTTGTGGGAATGAGCCATGCTGCCATATAAGGAAGAGCACTCAAGGCAGTGAAAACAGCAAGTGCAAAGGCCCCGAGGCAGGCTGGCCTGGGTGTGTTCAAGGGCCAATTAGGAGGTCAGTATGGCTGGGAGTCAGCGAGTGAGGGGAGGTGGGTAGCTGAGGACAGAGGGGTGATGTGCCAGATTGTTAGGGCCATGTAAGGCCAGCCAGTGGATGGCCTTCACCTTTTAGTCTGAGATGAGAAGGGTTTGGATGGAGCATGATCCGACTGGTCTTTTAAGAGGATTTCTATCCTTCTGGCTGTCGTGTGGAGCAGAGACTATTGGGGGTGAGAATTGAAGCAGCGGACCAGTTAGGAAGCACTGCAGTTGGACCTGGGGCACAGCGTTGGGGCGTGGTCACATTCTGGACTTGGGATGGTTAGAGCCGATGGGTTAGGTGAGTGGGAGATAGACAGGGTGTGGGGGAGAGAGGAGTCCAGGTTGATTGTGAGGATTTTAGCCTGAGGCGCTGGAAGGGTGCGTTGTCCTCGGTTGGGTGGGCAGCCGTGGGAAGGTCTGTGCCCTCGTGCAGCCAGCCACCCACCCACTGACCCCCTCAGTGCTGGGCACTCGGGTGAGCCCCAGGGATGAGGTGGTGACAAGGCAGGCTCCCTGCTGCCTTGGAGCCCACAATTCCGGAAGACAGACAGCAAACACTAAGCCTGAGCGTGACCACGAGGCCGCCAGCGAGGTTCGGATGCTGCGAGGGGACTTGTAGGGCGCACCCAGGAGCTGCTTTAGAGAGGACCAGGAAGCCTAGCTACAAACGGTCCAACAGTCCCACTCTTACTTCGGGGCCTGCTCCTTTTGTGCAGAGAATAGCAGTGAAGTTGGCAAAGCAGCGAGGGCCTGTGGCTCGCCTGGGGGAATGTGGAAGGCTACGGAGAGTCTTTGGGGGCTGGGCGGCCGAGTGGAGGCTGCCTTTCTGAGGAGACACCCTCCTGGCCCTTCTCCTGAGGAAGGGTCCTCCCGCCACCGTCCATGCCTGGAGACGCCATCGCTCCTCTTGCCGCCCCGTCCCCAGGTCCTCCCGAGGCAGACCTGCGGCCTCTTCACACACACCATCTTCTACAATGAGTACCCTGGCGGCTCCAGCGAGCTGGACAAGATCATCAACGGGGGCGAACTCTTCCTCACCGTGCTCCTCAATCCTGTGAGTGCTCCACAGCAGCTGGACAGCCCGTCTGTGTCCGACGCAGGCTTCCCGGAGCCGGGAAAGGGCAGAGAGGCGTGAGGAGGGCCCGGCAGTTGGGAGACCTGCTCTCCCCAGCCCTGGCCGTGTCCTGCCCCTGCCGTGTGACCCTGGCTAAAGAATCCGAGCTTGCATTTTTTAACGTTAATACAGAAGTGTTAGCATTTTTGTGCATGTTCCCTTTCCTGCCCCCCCTCCCCCAATTTACAGAACAAAACACAAACAGCTCCCACATCCACGTCCCATTTTTGGGTTCACACCTGGCTGTGTCCAGCCCAAGGTCATATGGCAAGTTTGTTGGTGGCCCCAGCGTACCTTGCCCTGTCATTGGGCAGCCCTGCATGCTGAGGTAGGGTCAGAAGGGTCAGAGGTGGGGAGAGGGTGGCTCAGACGCTGACCAGCCCCTGCCTCCCTCCTCTCCCATCCCCCGGAGAAGATCAGCATCTTCATGACACACCTGTCCAACTACGGGAACGACCGCCTGGGCCTGTACACCTTCAAGCACCTGGTGCGCTTCCTGCACTCCTGGACCAACCTCCGGCTGCAGACGCTGCCCCCTGTGCAGCTGGCCCAGAAGTACTTCCAGATCTTCTCTGAGGAGAAGGACCCGCTCTGGCAGGTGGGGGGCCAGGCAGCCTGGGCACCTTGTGGCTGGGATGGAATGCCACAGGCTGGGCACAGGCTCAAGGCTCAAGGCTCGGCCGCCACGCCCTCACACTCTCCCTTGAATGTAAACTCGGGCACGTTTGCTCACCAAGGTGGACACACTTGCTCCTGTGCAAACATATGTGAACATGTATATATGTGTGCACACCTCCCCACGCAGACCTGCATGCATGCACACTCATGCACAGCCTTGGGAAAAACTGTTAAAAAACCGAGTGAACACAGTGCAGGTGACACGTAGAAAGCGACTGCCCTGCGTTAGACTCTTTCCAATCACTTTTGCTCCCATCTAACTCCAGCAGGCTCTGAGCTATTGGGAAGGGGAGGGTTTGGAGATAGTTCTTGGGAAAGTCTGCGCCTAGGGACAGTTAAAAACTGGGAGCAGAAGCTGAAATTGGTCTCACAGTTCAGACTAGGGGGCCCACAAACCATGACTTATGGGCTAAATCCAGGATGTGGTCTGTTTTGTAAATAAAGGTTTATTGGAGCACAGCCACGCTCCTTCTTGCGTGTACTGTCTGTGGCTGCTGCCCTGTTACAGGAGCAGAGCTGGGTGGTTGCAATAGAAACTGGGTAGTAGCCAAAGCCTAAAACATTTCCTAAACGTTTACTAAAAGATTTACTAAGCTCTACAGGAAAAGTTTGCAGACCCCTGGCTCAGATGCAGCTTGTTCAGTTAAATTCAACAAGTGCTCATGAGTTCCTATTATGTGTCAAGCACAGGGCTGGGCATTTTTCTAGGCTCTTTGGGGGACGTGTCAGCCACTCAGCGTCTGGAGGTGGGGCTGTGACAAGGACCAGTGTAGGTATTATGCCGGTCAGGGCTGTCAGAGCCACGTATCTGTGTGCAATGGGAGTCCATCCCCTGGGTTCTTGGGCGCCCTCACTTCCCTTCTACTGTTTTAGGATCCCTGCGAGGACAAACGCCACAAAGACATCTGGTCCAAGGAGAAGACTTGTGACCGCTTCCCGAAGCTCCTCATCATCGGCCCCCAGAAAACAGGTAGGTTTCTTGTTCTTGGGCCAACTTCCCCCATTGCTTGCTGTCTCAGCCACAGAAGGCTGGAGAGACCTCACCCTTGCCCACTGCCCAGTAATCTGCTCCCTCTTTCCCAGGAAGTGGGAGTGAAGCTGGGGTGAATTGCCTTTCAGTATGGAGGTGGGAAGGGGGTGGAGGGTGGGCATGGAACTCTCCTATTTGCCCTGAATTGCAACCTCGGGGAGCTTTCTCTGTGTCCTCCTGGGAGTCTCTGAGTCTAGGCAGAGAAGTCCAGATCAGCTGCTCTGCAAGTTTGAGCAGTGCCAGGCAAAAGTAGTTCATTGCAAAGAGCACTATGATCAACTATTCATGTCGACCAGAGGTACGGGAAGAAGTATTGACATGATTGCTAAGTGTTTGCCATCCACACAACCCTGCAAGGCACAAATGGATACTCCCATTTTATAGTCAAGAAACTCAAGGCTCACAGAAGTTAAGTGACTTCCCTTAACACATTTAGTTAGGTAATGGCAGTTCCAGGTCTTGAACCCTGGTCTCTGTGACCCCAGAGCGTATACTGTTAATTGCCAAACTCTCTAGCCTCTTTCTCTTTGAGGCCCTCTCATTATAACATATAAACCATCACACCGCAGGGAATGAATGAACTACCCGAGGAGGAGGTAGGACAAGGAGCATGGGTGGGTGGGGCACCCGAAATAGGAGACATTGGAGCCAGATTTCTTAGGTCTTCAAGAAGTTCACATGAACAGAGCTGGAGGATCATGAGCTTGGTTTTCCCTGAGCTCCTCCCAAGTGCCAGAGAGGACAGAGGTTCAGAGCCGGAAAGGACCACCAGAGAGCATCCAGCTCAGGGATTCTGGGGAGACAGCAATCAACTTGGCATGGCTGTGGAATGCAGTGGTGAGAAGGTTTCTGAGGCCAAGTCCTTGGTTAGCGATGAAGAATGCTTTGATGGATTAGTGATGTCTGCAGTGGGTACAGGAGTTAGGGTGTTCACATGCATGCTCTGTGTTTGCCATCTTGGATTTAGTATAGTTCCTTCGTTGTACAGATGATGAAAATAAGACCCAGGGAAGGGAAGGAACTTTCCCAGGATCTCCCAGTGAACAATGGAGAGCTAGGCCCAGAACCCAGATTCCATCTTTTCGTTGGGAGCTGGGCTCTGGGTCTCAGCCGCCTCCCCTCCCCATAGGCACCACAGCTCTCTACCTGTTCCTGGGCATGCACCCGGACCTAAGCAGCAACTACCCCAGCTCAGAGACCTTTGAGGAGATCCAGTTTTTTAACGGCCACAACTATCACAAAGGCATCGACTGGTGAGTGGGCCTTTCTGTCCATAGCAGGATGGGAAGGCCATCATGGAGCCTTCCCAGGGGGCTGGCTGTGGCCGCGGCAGGAAGCAGCTGGTGCTTATTCACACGCAGCTGAAGTTCCTGTAAACAGGGACAAAGCACGATGACCCTGAGTCATGGCATGAGAATGTTGTCACGGACAGGACACTTGAGGAGGAAGCCCTTTGCACCTTTGCCTTGTCACCTGGGGCCAGAGACTGCTGAGGCCTGAGTCCATTCCTCCCTTTCTTGCATAGAAACATCTGAGTCCTAGGGGAGGAGAGGGACTTGCCTAAGGTCCCCAGGTCTGCTGGGGACAGAGCAGGGGCTAAAGCACAAATGTCTGGCCCTTTCCATTGTGTGAGCTGGCCTTTCCCACTGCATGGAGCCTGCGCGTGGCTGGTGGTGGAGCAGGCGTCCTGGCGGGTCCCTCTGAGGCAGCTCGCCAGCCTTAAGGTGTCACCTAGGGAGGTGGTGAAAATGGTCGCTTCCCACCAGAACCGGCTAGCAGAGGCTGCCTGAAGGGTGCGGGGCTAGTGCAGAGATGGCTTTACTTCCCAGTTTCTCAGCTTGCATCTTTCTCTACTGTTTGTCTTTTACGTCAGTGGGTTACCTAGGTGGAGAGATTATGGGCCTTCTATTTGTTTGTTTTTTGGTAGTTTCTGTGCAAATTTCTCTTTTGTCTGTCTTTCCATCCATCAATCTGTCTGTCTGCCTGTGTGTCTATCTATGTATCCATCCATCCATCTTTCCATCCATCCATCTGTATCTCTAACATGTCCACAATCTTTTATCTAAAACCCGTTGTGCCCAGGTGTGTTATTGGAAGTCAACATTTTTCACATTTTAGAGAAGTAATATGGTATGAAACCATGTATTTAGCAACATCTTCAGCAGCGCCTGGGGCAGCACCCATTAGTGAATACCTTAATATGTAGCAAAGTGTATGAATATTTCGGGGTTTGCTGCCAAATGGCTTTGCTACAAACTCAGGAAACAAAGCTTCTGTTTTTGGAGTTTTCTCAGTTTAGATATTCCAAGCGAAAGATTGTGGACATACAAAGACAATTCAGAAAGATGAGAGAGAGTGTGATTCCTTGGCCCCGTTCCTGAGGTTTTGATTTTGTAGATAGGTCTAAGGTGGGCACAGGAATCCAACAAGCCCCCAGGTGACTCTGATAAAGGAAGGGGGTCCTTGGGTCACCCTGGGGAACTCTGTTTCCCAGGATAGAGGAAGATCCTACAACCTTAATTAGGGTGGGCTTTGCTCCCCACAAACCCCCTGAAGTTGTACCCGAATTTTGCATAAATAGGTGCCCTCGGGAGGGTCCAGAGTGTTTTTGCTTTCAGAGGGGCTTTAATCCAGAGGATACTAATGCCCATGCACCACCCATCACTCCAGGTGCTCACCCATGGCAGGCTGGGGAGGCGATATGGATGGCAGTAGGTGACCCCCTCTTGTCTCCTGGTCCACAGTGACAGCCTAGAAAGTGCCATCCCAGGTCAGGAAAGAACCCCCACCTTCTGGAGGGAGAAGGGGGCCTCCCTCTTCCCCATGCTGGTCCTCCCTGGTCAGCCAGCGCTGGGCTCTAAGCCCCAGTGCGCCCCCTGGAGGCAGAGAGAGTTAGAGCCCTGTCCAGGTAGCCGCAGGAGCGTAGTGGGATGGCGGGCAGGATCCCGGGGTTTAGGACTGAATGACAACCCACCTCCCGTGCCCTGCAGCCTGTGGCACACCTATGAGCCTTCAGACCCTCCAGACCCCACAGCGTCCCCTGCGAAGGAACGGGTTTGGAACAGGGAGGCTGCCCAGTGGCCATCCCCCACTAGAATCCCCGCCAGAGCGAGTCCTCCTGGGACTGGGGGCGCTGCCCCCAGCGACCCTCTCCCTCTCGCGCTACATTCCCCAGGCCCCCTCCTCACAGGTCTGGCCTGTGAGCCCCGCTCTCTGGGCTTCCTGCAGGTACATGGAGTTCTTCCCCATCCCTTCCAACACCACCTCCGACTTCTACTTTGAGAAAAGCGCCAACTACTTTGACTCGGAAGTGGCGCCCCGGCGGGCAGCAGCCCTTTTGCCCAAGGCCAAGGTCCTGACCATCCTCATCAACCCAGCAGACCGGGCCTATTCCTGGTACCAGGTGAGTGGGGCTGGGCTGGTCTCTCTGGGGGGGGGGGCGGTGCAGCGCTTGGTCTGACACTCAGTTACTAATTCACTCAACAAATATTTATTTATTTATTTATTTATTTATTTATTTATTTTTTAAGATAGAGTCTCACTGTGTTACCTGAGCTAGAGTGCCGTGGCATCAGCCTAGGTCACAGCAACCTCAAACTCCTGGGCTCAAGCAATCCTTCTGCCTCAGCCTCCCGAGTAGCTGGAACTACAGGCATGAGCCACCATGCCTGGCTAAATTTTTCTATATATATTAGTTGGCCAATTAATTTCTTTCTATTTAATAGTAGAGATGGGGTCTCATTCTTGCTCAGGCTGGTTTTGAACTCCTGACCTCGAGCAATCCGCCCACCTCGGCCTCCCAGAGTTGCTAGGATTATAGGCGTGAGCCACTGCGCCCGGCCAACAAATCTTTATTAAGCACCTTCCGTATGTGGGCTCTGCGTGAAGCACCTGGAGCGTGGTGCTGGGTGAGAACAGAGCCCCACCTCCATGGCGCTTCTAGCCTGGTGGAGGACACAGGCAGACATTGATGGCAAAAGCCAGCCGCCAGTTAACCACCCTGCCCACCAAGCTTCGCGTGTGGTCCCTGATTCTGGCACTGACAAGAGGTGGGGTCTGGGTGAACCTTGAGGAAGCGTAGACTTGGTGAGCAGTGGTCTGGTTGCTGCACACTGGTGAGGTGGGGTGGGAGCTCGGGGGATGGGACACAGGACCTGCCACCTTAGTGGAGGATGCAGACGCCTGATCGGGTAAGGCGGTCACCTGGACTTCAGTACATGATAGAGGTATGACTCCTAGTCCCTACTTGAGACACGTAAGAAGCAGAACTTTCTTTAACTTCTATGGCCTGAATTAGTTTACTCTGAGTGCCAGCCCTCTGGGCTTACAGGAACACTTCCAGGACTTTTGTGGGGGTGGGAGCAAGTCCCTCCCCTGGCTGACAGCCTTCCTGGGGTTATGCCACACTGCTGAGTATTTTGATTCAGAAGTGGCACCCTAGCAGGCAGCTGCCCTGTTGTCCAAGGCCAAAGTCATGACCATCCTCATCAACCCAACAGACCAGGCATCTTCCTGGTGTTGGGGGAACCTGGGCTTTAGTCCACAGTTACCTGGGAGGTGCCCACTGTCCTGGGTTAGGAAGGCTCCTTCAGGCTTGGCCACTTCTGGTAGCTCCCTGCCCCACTCTGGGCCTCTTCAGTTGGGTACTTTAGTGGCTGCTCCTGTCTGGGGTGTCACTGTGTCCCCCGCAGTGCTGGCAGGAAGCAGGTGCAGAAGCTCTTTGCTCCTGGTCCCACAGGACTCTCTCCCCCTCCTGCCACTCCTGGAGCCGGATGAGGAAGCCCTCGCTTCCTCTTACACCTCAGGGCTTCTGTTTATGCCCTGAGCCCTTTCCCATGGGCCTTTTCTTTAAGGGAAAAAAAACCTCAGAAACACGCACAGGGCATTTGTCTCTTCTGCCATGCACACCAGGAGGTGTGCCCCCACCTCCTGGCGATGAGCAGAGAGCCATCTGCTGGGGTGGTTTGTGTGTGTGTCCCCTTCTTGCAGATTAGAAAACCAACATTCAGCAAGTTTCACGTGGTGGCATTGTGAATCCAGGCCTTCTAAATCTAAGACCCTATTCTTTCTTCTGTCCATGGTCGAGAGGGGTGAGGGAGATAAGAAGAGACTAGTTCCTACCAGGAGGGTCTAGGAAGATGCCGGAAGGATGGTGGTGGCCTGTCTCAAAAGGAGGTCAGGATGAAGAGGAGGTTGCTGTGCACCATTATGGCCCCTGCCCTGGGCCGTGTGGGATCCTCCGTGGAGGGGGGTTGGCTGGTGAGGGTCTTGCCCAAACCCTGGACTTTGAAAATTCTGCAGATTCTCATGACCCATGGCATTAGTTGAGGTGGTTCAGACTCAGCATTTTCCCGTTTACAGTTCTTTCCCAATCCTTTTGACTTCAGAAAGGAAAAATGCTCAGTTTGGTTCAAGTGGCTCTTTTGTCCTTTCTAACACTGCTAAGCTCTGTTTTCAATAAAGAGAGTACAGGCTTTGGGTTCAGGGCCTGTAGCAGACATTTGTATCCGACTAGAGTTTGAGAACATTGCTTTGTTTATCTGCATTTATGAATGGTTGCATTCTGTAGGTGATAACTGATCCTAGTTTTCTATTTATGGAGCTGATAGTTTTCTTTTTTTTTTTTTTTTGGAGACAGAGTCTCACTTTGTTGCCCAGGCTAGAGTGAGTGCCGTGGCGTCAGCCTGGCTCACAGCAACCTCAATCTCCTGGGCTCAGCGATCCTACTGCCTCAGCCTCCCAAGTAGCTGGGACTACAGGCATGCACCACCATGCCCGGCTAATTTTTTGTATATATATATTTTAGTTGGTCAATTAATTTCTTTCTATTTTTGGTAGAGACGGGGTCTCGCTCAGGCTGGTTTCGAACTCCTGACCTTGAGCGATCCGCCCGCCTCAGCCTCCCAAAGTGCTAGGATTACAGGCGTGAGCCACCGCGCCCGGCTGATAGTTTTCTTTTGAAATAAATTTTTGCGAAAAAGAAAGGTGAGTCAGTATAAAGAGAATTATGTTGACATTGGCGCATACAAGTGGTTTGTGGATATGGCAGAAAACACAGAGATGGGGTACAAATGGCCGATGTTTATTATAAGCCCTGATTTGGTCCAACTCCTGTCTTGCAGAGATGGGGAAATGGGGCCTCTGGGGCCAGTGGCTTCCCTGAGGCCAGACAGCCAGGACTTTGAACCCAGAGCTCGTGGTTCCAGCCCAGGATCTGTCCACCTCATGGTGTCCCACCAAAGGCCACTTCTTTTGTGCCTTCCCTGTGACATGCCGACCTTCTCCCCTTGCCTGCAGCACCAGCGAGCCCATGATGACCCAGTGGCCCTGAAGTACACCTTCCACGAGGTGATCACGGCCGGCCCCGATGTGTCCTCAAAGCTGCGCGCCCTCCAGAACCGCTGCTTGGTCCCCGGCTGGTACGCCACTCACATCGAGCGCTGGCTCAGCGCCTTTCACGCCAACCAGGTAGCTGCCTGTCCCTGGCCCTTGGGAGGCAGTCACAGTGCTGGCTTGCTGTAGCTAGCAGAGAGCCCAGAACCTCTCTCGCCAGGCCCAGGGCTACAAATGCCCTCACTGGAGAGTTAGACCTTTGGGTCTCTAAAAAGGTTTTAGCTCTGTTTATCCCCAGGTTGATACGTGGGAACTCCCCATGCCCATGTCCCATCACCATAGGCTCTGGAGCCCTAAGGGGACCAGAAATCCCTGGGGTGGGCAGCTGGGAGCGAGGGGACTGGGAGGGAGAGCCTGGTTGGAGGGGTAGGCAGGGGTTAGATCACATGAGGCCTTTTAGGGAAACACTCGGAGCATCTGAGCAGGAGACATGGGCGTGAAGCTCGGAGAGAGGCTGGAAGGGGGATGTGTGGCTAGGAGGGGTAGACAGGGTTTTGGTGATAGCTTAAATTCCAAGAGAGGATGACATCGGTCAGGGGAAGCCGGCAGGGAGTTAGCCCACAGAGGACCGAGGCTTGGAGATACTTGTTATCCAGCTGCAGAGGAAGAAGCAGGGTGAGCGTGCAGGGTCCCAGGTTTGTAAGCAGGCCCGTGCCTGCTGCTGTGCCCACTGTCCTGTTTGCCGCTGGAGTGGGAGTGGGAGCAGGTCCAGATCACCTTCTCTTTTTCCTTCTTTCCAGATTCTGGTCTTGGATGGCAAACTGCTGCGAACAGAACCTGCCAAAGTGATGGACACAGTGCAGAAGTTCCTTGGGGTGACCAACACCATTGACTACCACAAAACTTTGGCGTGAGTGTCGCCTGGGTCTTTCAGCAGGGCAATTTCCCTGATCAGGCACCTGGGCCAGAAAGTCAAAGGCTTGAATAATTATGAGAAAGACGCAGGTTCATTAGCAAGTATGAAATTTTATTAACATGACTCAAGTCATATTAATAAAGGTATCCACTTAAGAAAAAAGGAGGTAATTAATCTGTCCTACTCAGGTCAGCCCACCCCGGGGTGTCCTCTTCAGTCTGGGCTGAACATTGTTAGAGTGTTTTATCTAAATAAGTTAGGCCAGCAGTGAGCAGCCCCGATTCCCACGGGCTTTCTCAGCATTAGATTTTGACTTAAATATAATTTCAGGAAAAGGAAACCACACATGTAATTGTTGTGGCTAATGATCTCATTCACTCAGAACCTGGCATGAGCGCACTGAAAATGCCCGCCCGTGATGCGTGGGCGGCCGCCTGCGTTGCAGGGGCGCGGGGCGGGGAGAGGCCCCTTCCAGGGCTGTGTGACAGGTCAGGCCGGGTGAGGAGCCTCAAGAGGAGGAGGAATGGAGTCAGCCTCCCTGACTCCATTCTTGGGAAAGCCTTGCAGCAAGAACCTTCCTTTCTCACTGTCGTGGAAGTTGAAGGTGGAGAAGGGAGGGAAATCAGTTCTTCACCTTGAGGCAGAAAGGGGCACCTGCCAAGGGTGTGGGCTGTGGTGTCAGGGACGCCTGGACTAGGATCCCAGATCCATTTCCTTAAGATTGATTCTGTTTTCCTGACGTCCTCATGCTCAAGAATGTCCTAGTGGCTCCTGATCTGGGCTGGATTCTGATACCAGTATGCCTCCCCTCCGTGACAGCTTCAGATCTCATATCCCCAAAATGCCTTTGAAGGTAGCATGATGTTGGATATGGAAGTCAGTCTTGCTCCGTCATTTCTTAAAGTTACTCCAAAAAATCATAGGCATGCTTAAGTGCAGCTGCCGATACTGCATTCTTGGCTGGGCTTGGCTGTGGCTCACGCCTATAATCTTTGCACTCTGGGAGGCTGAGGCGGGAGGATCACTTGAGGTCAGGAGTTTGAGACCAGCCTGAGCAAGAGCGAGACCCCTCCATCTCTACTAAAAATAAAAAAAATGGGCCAGGTGTGGTGGCGCACGCCTGTAGTCCCAGCTACTTAGGAGTCTGAGGCAGGAGGATCACTTAAACCCAGGAGTTTGAGGTTGCTGTGAGCCAGGCTGATGCCACGGCACTCTAGCCTGGGGAACAGAATGAGACTCTGTCTCCAAAAAAATAAAATAAAAAATTGACAGATATTGCATTTCTTGATAAAGATGCAGTTTATTAAAAAGCAAAAGAACCTTCATTGAGCTTTTTTTCTCCTCTGTTGTCACTTGAAGCTGGGAGGGGTAAAGAAGGCTTCTTGGGTAAAAAAAAAAAATGTTACTTACCAGTAAATTAGAGAATGCTTGGAAAAGATTTCCCAGAATAATGAAGGATAGGAAAGTTCATTTCCTATCAGAGAAGGCTGCACAGCCCAGAGAAGCCCCAGAGTATGTGAGATGCCTTCTGCTGGGTGGAAGGGCAGGTGTGTTTGGTGTCGCCCAGGGAAAAGTGTGGGCCAACAGACGGCAAATAGTAGCCCACCGATTAGATGAGCACGGGTTCCGTGTGCGTAGGGGAGTAGAGTCCCTGAACTGGGCTCTGCCGTTCCTGAGGAGCTGGAGCATTGCCCTAAGGTGGGAAGAGGATGGGCCGGGCCAGCCCTCACCCAGAGGCTTCCCCCCGCCCTGCAGGTTTGATCCAAAGAAAGGATTCTGGTGCCAACTGCTCGAAGGAGGAAAAACCAAGTGTCTGGGCAAAAGCAAGGGCCGGAAATACCCAGAGATGGACTTGGATGTAAGTGGCGGACACGCTGCCCATGGCAGCGGGATGAGTGGAAGGGGCTGTGAGTGGGAGGAGCCTTTTCTTGGGCAGTGTTCTTAAGAGGAGGAAAGAAATACGGGCTGGGACATGGTGGGACAGAATTGATGCAGTCAAACAAGTATTTATTACCTTCTAAGGGCTGAGTGCTGTGAGTTTTTTGGTTTTTTTTTTATAATTTCAGAATATTACGGGGGGGGGTACACATATTTAGGCTCCATGTATGGCTTTTGTACAGTTTGAGTCAGTGTTTTCTTTTGTTTTTTAGAGATAGGGTCTCGCTCTGCCTCCCAGGCTGAAGCGCAGTGGGCTGATCATAGAAGGGGGTCGTGAGGATGTCAGACATGGTCTCTGGCTTCAAGGAACTCCTAGTCTAGGAGGGGGAAGTCACACGTGCCACTGAGGTTAATAGAATACAAGGCAAAGAGTGCTTCGAGCAGTAAGAGAGGCACACAAGTGCTCTGGGAACTGAGAGCGAGGGGATGTCACTTGAAGCTGGGAGAGGTAAAGAAGGCTTCTCAAAGGAGGGGTGGCAGTCTCCACAGTTGGGCCTGGAAAGATGGGGTTCATCCCGTAGGATTTGGACCTATGGAATCGGGTGATAGCCCATTCTTGAGTTCAGAACAGCATATGCAGAAACATAGGGGAAGGGTCATGGACTGTGAATCTTGTGGTGGTCCCTTTTTCCTGTTTGCTTCTGGTTTTGATTAATTCTCTCTTTTCTCCCTGTCACAAGAATTTTGACCTTGTGAGCTATATTTTGGTGCTCTCCTACCATACAGGAGTTTTCTATTGGAAGCTACCATTTAGAAGACGATTGTGAATCATTAAGAGGTGTATGGCTTGGTGCCAACAGAGTGGTGGTTTTAAAGAGGGGGTCACTCTTGAGCCAGCGCAGCACCGAGATCTGAGCTTTCCTTCCCGTTACAGTCCCGAGCCTTCCTGAAGGACTATTACCGGGACCACAACATCGAGCTCTCCAAGCTACTGTACAAGATGGGCCAGACGCTACCCACCTGGCTGCGGGAGGACCTCCAGAACACCAGGTAGCCGTGGCCACCACAGCCAGACTGAATGTTAGTGATGGCAGGGACGTCCCGCCGCACGCTGAGCCAGACCCACCTGCGGAGTCGGGAGCGGGCCGCAGCCAGCCAAGCACTTACATGAGCAATACTCTGCTGAGGCCCGTGTGGGGCCAGGAGAAGAGCCCGGCCAGGTCCACAAGCGCCTCAGAACACCCACTGCTGGGTCTGTGGCCAACAGGACCTCCCAACCACCAGAGGTCCATTCTGTTCACAGCCTTTCCTGGGGAGGCCACTTCCTGTTGGTGGATGGCCACTTCCTGTTGGTGGACGGCCACTTCCTGGTAGAGGAAGTCCACAAACTCTCTTTTCTGTTCCTCACTGTGTTCTCCCAACCATCCCCTCTCCTTCATCCCATCATGCCCTGCTCCAGCAGGGCATCCCCTCAGTATTAGCTGCCATATTTTCCCTGTCCACTGACAATGAGGGAGAAGAGCCCAGCCGGGCCTTTTGCCAAACCAGGGAGAGAGACTGGACACTTCCCTGACTTGTTTCAAGCCAGGCTCTTCAAAGGGGTCAGCTGGATACCCAGAGTCAGTCACCAGGCTGGATGTGAGGGTGGCCACCTCGAGAGAACTCTGAACCTCCACACCTGGTTCCTACCTTCACATCTCACCTTCCCTTTTGGGGGAAAGAATCTCTGGTTCCTATAGTATCCACCCAGTTCCCAAGGCCTCCTGTAGGGCCCTGGAGCACTGCCATGCCATTTGGGCCCAGGGACCCAGGCCTCAGCTGGACCCCTTCTTCACCCTGGGGTATGACGTGCGTGGTATTTCCTGTGGTAAAAGACGGAGGCGGTTCAGGAGTCTGCCAGTATACATGTTCCCCTGTACAGACGTGCCCCCACCCACCCAGCCTCGGCTCCCGGCAGACGTGGGCAGAGCTGGTGAGACGCCAGCCACTGCTTTGCCCCAGCTTCCTGCGGCTGAGGGTTTCCAGAGACCCCCCTAACCTCCCAAATACTAAGAAGCTAAAGTATTTTAATATTTTGTTTTTTCTTTTCTTGGTGCCAGAGTTTATACCCTGGGTGCTGGGGTCGCACTGTGTTTTTTATATATATATATATATATATATAATGTGTATATATATATATTATATTTTTTTTGGTTGGGTTTGTTTTTAATTCAGCCGTAAAAAATGGTGGTAAGCCCCAGTCTCAGGGGGTGTCTTACCTTCGTGCTAGAGAAGGAGATGGAAGGGAGGGAGGGTGTGTCTTTATGTGTCTGGGCCTCAAGGAGTCAGCAGGAAGGTGCCCTCAGAGAGGTCTCTCTTTACTCTCCCCAGTGCCATGGCTGTCCTGGGGCTACCCTAGGTGGACAGAGGTGGTGAGACCCACTCTCTCCAGGAAATCTGGCTTCATGAAGCCCAGTGACCCTGGGGAAATTTTGGCCAAAGCAAACAGCCAGGGCTGCGGTAGGAGAGCTGGGGCCCAAGCTGGCCCGTCCCCTCTCCCTCACATGGTGCTAGGCTGGGAGCTGCTCTGGGAGTTAGGGTGCCCACCGGCACCCACAGCACTGGCTCCCGGCCCCTGTAGACAGTGGGATTTCTGGGCTGATGTCTGATTGGGGTCTGCTCCTCTCCCCCCTTAACAATGTGAAGTGACTGAGGCTGGGGTGCTTCTCCCCGGCCCCCTCCCAACTGCCAGTTCAGCTTTGAATCGACACCCAGGAAGTGCTTTCTGGAGAGCCTGTCTTGTTCAGAAGACGCTAGCATCTTGGGCTGGACGGGTCCTTTGACGGGTATGGAGCGGGTCCAGCAAGGGGCGCTGGCCTGCTCGGGGGATGTCACGGAGCTGGCTGGGAGCAGGGCCGAGCCTTGAACCCGAGGCTCCCGATTCCGAGTCTAGTGCTCTTCTTCCAATGCCACACTGCCTCTGAGCCCTTCTGGGGACCCTGCTCTGTGCCAGGTTCCTGTCCCTCCCTCAGTCACAACCGTGGTCATTCCAGAAAATGGGGACAAACCACTCCTTCCCAGCCAGGGTGCCTTTGAGCCTCCCCACCCCCAGGTGTGCGTGTGCCCTGCTGTCTTCTCCCCGCCCGGAGGTCCCGCCCCAGGCCGCGCGCGCCTGGGTCCCTTCTGAACCGACGCCCTTTCCTCACGTTCTCCGCTGGGGTGGAGAAGAAAGTTGGACACTCTCGGGGACCGGCCGCGTGCAGTCTCGTCGTGTCGAGAGCAGTGTCCCCTCACGATTCTCAGTGGGGCCTGCAAGCCTGGGAGCCGCGGGCGTCGTTGGCATGGCAGGGACGAGGAGCGGTGTCTGAGGACAGGGTGGCATGTCTCCTCGTGCACTCGGGAAGACCTGGCCGCACCGTGGAGCCAGGCTCCCGGAGAGGGGCGGCGACTTCCGCAGCGCAAGCCCCGGGAAACTCAGGCTACGCGGGTCTTGCCTTTTGCGCCGACTTGACAGCTTTACTCCTTATCTGTCAGGGAGGGCGTGGGCTCTGTGATCCCCGAAGACCTTGCCGCTCCTGAGTTCTGAAATCCCCCCTCTGGGCGGGGCTGCTTCCTTCTCTCAGAGCTTGGGATGCAGAGTCGAGCTGGCCTGGGCCGGCCCTGCCTGGGCAGGCGGCTGCTCCTCTCTGTGCTCCGGCCTCGGCAAAGCGGGCAGGTTCGGGATCCTGTGATGGCAGAGGAGATATTTTCGCCCGGGACCTTCCGGGAGCCTGGGGACCGGACTTGCCACGTGTCCCAGATCCGTCTGTCTAGGGCCCTGCTGCTACTTCCCTTCCCACTAACAGATCTTTCTTGAGGACCCACGAGGCCCAGACACAGCCGGGACCTGCAGGTATTGGGTGTGTGTGTGTGTAGGGGGGAGACAAGCTGCCCTAGGGGCTCTCAGCGACTAGGCACACAGACGCCCCCGCCCGGGAAGAGGGGACCAGACATGAGTGGGGCTGTGCGGTCAGTCTTTAATGTCCACTAATTCACTGTAAGCGTTTGGCCAAAAAAATAGAGAACTAGCTTGAATTGTGCAGGTGACTCCACCATCCGCTCTGCAGCCCTCTCCACGAGCCTTCGCCTTGGGAGGGTGCAGGCGGGAGGCGTCACCTACAGCAGCCTCAGTTGTTGGGTTCTAGAACCTTCCATGATGTGAGCACCTTGCTGCTCAGAGGATGAATGTGAAGCTTAAAGATGGGCCTTTTCCGAGCCCCTGTGTACAAGCAGTCGGTGCTTCTGGGCCCAGCTGAAGAAGCTGGACTGACCGCAGAGGTTAGTGGCCCCCACACGGAGTCGTGCCCATAGGCCTGGTAAAGGGAGGAGCAAGTACAAAATTGTCTTACCGGACATTCTACTACGAACTCCGGCTACCCAGCATCTAGATTTAAAATTATTAACATTTTGTCACATTTGTTTCTCTCTCTTTCTGTACATATCTATATATTTTTTTCTGATCTGGTTTAAAAGTATGTTGCAAAGGTCGTGGGACTTTGCCCTTAAATGCATCTCCTAAGAGGTAGGCATTTTCCCACCTATTGGTCCAACATTGCAGTCAAGACAGCAAGTCATTTCCTAACAACAACTGCTACCCGGTCTATATCCAAATGTCCCCCACTGTCCCCCAAATAACTTTGACCTGGTTTTGGAATCAGGCTCCAGTCAAGGTGCACACACTGCAATTTTCTAGCTGTGTTTTTTAAATCTCCTTGAATGGCAAAAAAGTCTTCCCTCTGCCCACTTTGAGTTTTTTAGTGACATTGTTTTTGAGACCAGCAGGCCCGCTGTCCTGTCGGAAGTGCCACGTTCCGGATTTGTGGGATTGTTCCCTCATAGTGTCACACAACCACTTCCTCGGTCCCCTGTGTTTTCAAGGGTAATTCAGGCTACGTGGGTTTTTGCCTTTCACGCTGACTTGACAGCTTCACTCCTGCCTAAGATGCGCCTCCACTGTCACCTGTACCAAGTGCCAAACCAGCAGAGGAGCCAGGGGAGGGCCAGGGAGGCTCCCTGGAGAAGGCAACGTCACGCTGGGCCTGGGGGGAGGGACGGAGGGCTCCCTGGAAGGAGGCTGGGCCAGGCAAGGGGAAGGAACCTGCTGGGAAGGAGCCGTCTCTGGCTTGAGAGTCCTGTGCTGCCCCCTTTGACCCTGGGGATGGGCCACAGGGCACAAAAAACACAGCATTTCTCTGTCTGTTTTTTGGTCCCAGGGTTCTCGCTTCCCGGAGGCCTGTGGTCTGTGCACTGGAGCAGAGCTGGGCCTCTGGGGTGCTCCAGGGAAAGGCCTCCCCCAGCTGCGGGAGGCAGGAGCTGTGCAATCTCCCACTGGGTGCATTCAGTAGCAGCCCCACCATCTTCCTCCCAGGCCCCTGCTCCCGGGTGAGCGGGCAGGTGGGGTACAGCCGCAGCAGGGTTTTCACAAGTGCAGGAAGGAAGCAGCTCTGCCCTGGTTGAAGTGAGGATGGGGGCCCAGACCTGCACCCCGCCCCGGGCCCTCAAGACAGCGCTGGGTCCCTGCTTTGCCATCTCTGAGCTAGATGTTCTCGCTGGCTCAGACGGCCAGAGATTGTGTTAGTTACTCCGAGCGACGGGCATTGGCTTTATGTGGGGTCCATGCCAAGGGCTTGGGGGAGGCTCTGGCTGTGTGTTATCCTAAGAAGTTCATCCCTACTGCTCTTCTTCCTCTTTCTGGCCCTAATGAGGGAGGAGAGGGTTTTCTATGACTGTGCTAGCTTTTATTATCAGCAAGAGGGCTCCTTTTGTAATTTGTGCATGAAATTCATGTCATTTCCTGGGGAGAGGAGAGGGCTGACTGGAGAGGGAGGGGGGCACGCTAGGGGAGCAGGCAGAGGTTTCCTTCCCTTGTGGGGGGTGGGGAAAGGGGTGGAGAGGGGGTGCTACCCAGCTCGCCTGTGAGGGCTCTCAAACCAGCCGTTTTGGGTTGTGTTAAAGGTGAGAACCTTCCTCCATTAATGTACAATCTTGAACTAACTGCTAATAAAGTGGGGTTCTGTTTGTACACATTGGTCCTGTCTGTCTGTGTGTCTGACTTTTTTTGCAAGGCCTGCAGGGGAGGGTGGAGATAGGAGTGTTTGCATGCATGGCCAAAACTTGTCTCTCCCTAATCCTCCACGTGCACGCGCGCACACACACACACACACACACACACACACACACACACACACGGTGATTTGGTCAAATCAGATCATTTCCACTGGGTTATATATATTTTTTAAAATTTTTTTAAAACTTTATTTAATATATTTATTTTTTAAATTTTTACAACTCCATCTATTTTGTGATCCACTGAGTTATAAATTGAAGCTTTTCCAGATATAGCAGAGGCATATCCCAGGGCAGCCGGATTGTCAGAAGTGCTAGGGTCGGAGCACTGGACTGAGAGGGGACTCAAGGGCCGGGCGTGGTGGCTCACGCCTGTAATCCTAGCACTTTGGGAGGCCGAGGCGGGCGGATTGCTCAAGGTCAGGAGTTCGAAACCAGCCTGAGCGAGACCCCATCTCTACCAAAAATAGAAATAAATTAATTGATCAACTAAAAATATATATACAAAAAATTAGCCGGGCCTGGTGGTGCATGCCTGTAGTCCCAGCTACTCGGGAGGCTGAGGCAGTAGGATCGCTGAGCCCCGGAGTTTGAGGTTGCTGTGAACGAGGCTGACGCCGTGGCACTCACTCTAGCCTGGGCAACAAAGTGAGACTCTGTCTCAAAAAATAAAAATAAAAAAAAAAATAAAAAAAAAAAAAGAGAGGGGACTCAGGGGCAAGCACCATTTCTGCCACTAAGGTACTTGGGGATGGGGGGCAAGTTCCTTTTTTTACTTTCTGATCCTCAGTTTCCCTCATCTTTTAGGGGTGTGGAGGGGGTTGGACTCAGTGACCTCAACTGGAGAACTTGCCCCAAATGCAGATTCCCAGGCCCACATGCAGGGATTCAACTCCAGCAGATGTGGGCTGGGGCCTTGCAAGCATCTGCGTTTGAAACAAGCTCCCCGACAGGTGGGGCACCCCACTTTGGGAAACCGGGCTCAGATCGATGGTTCCTACGGGTTGTAATTAATGCGGAGAGCCCCATTGTCCAAGAAAACCTTGGGCACAACAAATGGCTTTCCGGCCCCCCCCTCCCCTCCTACCTGCGGGGTGGGGGGCAGCGCACGTGTCGGGATCCGCTCTCTCAGTGTCCCTCGGGAAGCTTTAAAACATGCACATTGCTGGGCTCTCTCCAAATGTACTCCCTGAGAAACTCTGGGAGTGGGACCCAGCACTGTGTACTTTAACAAACTCCCTGGTGCTCAAGAAAATCTGGGAACACTGGATCAGGCCACCAAGTGTGAGCCTGAGAAGGTCCACAGAAATGTGCGTGCAGAGCAGGGGCTGCCGCAGACACAGCTGGGTGGGCCCAGGACCCAGGAGGGTGGACTGAGCGGCCAAAGTGAACATAGCAAAATGCCAGCCCCAGTGGCCCAAGGGTGGTGCCTGCAGAGAACTCTGGGGATTGTCAGCTGGAAGCTCACCGCAGGTCACGTGGCCACCGGCAGGCAGAACACAGCTGGGGCTGCATTGGCAGGAAGGCTCTAGCAGGCGTGATACAGAAGGGACACCTGTGCCAGCCGAGGGGCCAGACTACATCAGAGTGTCTTGAATTTTTAAAACAGCTGAGATTCTTTTTTGAAAGAGTCACTTCATTGAAAACCAGGTGAAGGTGCAGGTGCTCTGGCTGGAGTGGGGGCGAGGCTCTGACCAGCTCACCTCCTCCCTCTAGCGCATCCTGTCTAGCCCAACCCTCAGATTCCTCGAAACACATTGCGAAAACCCAGCCCAGCTGCTCCAAGAGGTCCCGAGATTCCTGTAATTCTATTAATAATAGGTTCAGTGAATAAAAAGTCCCTCAGCCCATCCTCATCCCCTACAGCAACGAGTCCACCCGGGAATCTGCACACCGGGAGTAGTTCTGGGTTCTAGAGGTGGGCGGCTCCCTCGGAGACATCCCGGGCCACGTGCCTAGGGCAGCGTGTCTCAGAACAGCAAGACACCGGAGCAACTTAGAAGTCCGTCCCCAGGGCACCTGCTGAATCTCCGCCAGCGTGCCCATCCGCTGTAGCATCATGATGCCGTTGACAATAATTAGCTCACTGTCCATGTCCCGCCAGGGAAATTTCTATAAGAATGACCATTGTGCCTATTGTGGAAAGAGAGCACTACGGGGCATGTTTTTTTCCTGGGGATATGTATATATCTCACAACAAACTGATAACAGTGAGAAGGGGAGGTTTCAAAGGGGACTTCAGCCTTGGCCGAAATACTTTTTTTTTTTTTTTCAAGACAAGGATAATGTATTCATGTATCATTTATAAAATGAAAAAAAATCTTCAATAATAATGGAGGCAGCAGAGAGGAGGACTGCAGGCTAGACTCACGGGCTGATGCTATGAAGGCCAGTCCTGCTGTACCCAGCTGTACTCACACGTCTTCCAGAGCTAAGGTGTGCGGGAGGCCCAGAGCGGTGGTGGTCAGTTTCTTGCCTTGCCACGTTTATCCTGGGACTTGTCAAGACCCGGGGCGGAGGGGCCTGACCTTCAGGTGACTGTAGACGCCTCTGTGGCCCTAGGAGCTTAGCTTCCCCATGCTCACAGTTAGCATCACCAGTGCTGGGACAGACTGACACCACGTGTCGCCTGATGTGATGCACTCAGAAGGACCCAGCCTAACACCTGGGAATTTTTTGACAAAAACAACATGAATTTAGCCAGGGGGAAATGGCAGGGGGAAATTCTTACCGAGGGACATTTTGCAAAATAGCTGGCCTGAACTCTAGCAACGTCATGGTCATGAAATACACAGGAAAGCTGAGAAAGGGTTCAGGATTAAAGGATACTAAAGAAACCAGGTAATCAAATGCCATGTGTGACGCTGGAGGGATCCTGGACCAGGCAGCAAATAGCTATAAAGGACACCACAGGGACAACTGGCAAAGTGTGAATTTGGACTGTGTGGATTAAATAATAGTATTCTATAAGTGTTACATTTTGTGATTTTGATTATTTTACTGTTATGTAAGAGGATCTCGTTGTTCCTATGAAGTACACCCTGAAATATTTAGGGGTAAACGGGAAGAAATGAAGCTGAATTTTGACTCATGCTCTTTCTCTAGCGGGTCAGATTGGTCCTGCTCAGGTGCAGTCCAGACTGTGTCCACCAGGGGGCACCGTCACCCAGCCTATCTCAGGATAGTCGCATGCGCCTCCCCTCCATAGACTGGGCTGCTGGGTAATGGTGGTGGGGTAATATTATAAATAATAAAATCAATAAATAATATAAATAATAAAAAGTATTTCTCACTCTGTGTCAGGCAGGCACTCTGCTCATCTCTTAATCCTTGTAACAACCCTCTGAGGCAGGTATCATCATCATTCCCCTTGTATAGGCGAGGAGTCTGAGGCTCAGAGAGGGTAAGTAACTCTGCCAGGACCACACAGCTGGGAGCCTTTGGCCCACGAGACTCCACAGCCTGACGACTTCCAGGCTGTTCTGTCTCTGGGCATCTGGTGGAGAATTATTTGCTGCTTTGCCGGGCAGCAGATGGGGAGCTGCCCTGCCACAGGTTCTCCAGGAGGCTTTGCTCTGTTACACCTTTCGGGGAGGGAGGGAGAAGCTGGAGCTTGAATTCCCCAAACTTTGCCCCATTCTGGGGTGTTCTCCCTTGGGGAAGACTGAGGCTGTACAGCGCAGTCGTCAAAATGCACACAGCTGGGCAGATCCGGTTTCAAATCTGGGCTCGTTCTGGCTGTGGGACCTTGGGCAAGTACTTCCCACCTCTGAGCCTCAGTCTCCACATTTGTGAAATGGGGATGGTGACAGGCCCATCTCGAAGACTAAGGAGACAGTGTTGGGAAGCCCTCAGCAGGGGCCTGCTGCACAGTGAGTGCTCAGTGAAGTCTGCTCTGGTTCTGGGTGTCATGCAGCCCCCACGTCTGAACCTGAGCCCGGGGGTGGCACTGCCATCTTTGTCCTGTGGCTGATGAAGATGGGCTGGGGCCAAGAGGCCCAACCCAATGTGGAAACTCATTACACCTGATTGTTCCCCCTGGGGCCTTGAAATGGAAGCGGTTGTGTGATCTTAGGCACTGAGAATGACCCTTCAAAATGCACACACAACTACTGACTTCACAGAAAAAAGAGGAGCAAAAGACATTACTATGAGCAGCTGTGTACCAACAAATTGGATGACCTACATGGAATTCCTAAAAATTCCTAGGGGTACACAAACTACCAAAACTGACGTAGGAAGAAATAAAAAAATCTGAATAGCCCTATGACAAGTCAGGGGATTGAATCAGTGATCAAAAAACTCCCAGGAAAGAAAAGCCTAGCACCAGATGGTTTCACTGGTGAATTCTACCAAACATTTAAAGGAGAATTGACACCAATTCTTCTCAAACTCTCAGTATACTTTCAGTATACTACAAAACTACAAAACATTGCTTAAAGAAATTAAAGAATACCGAAATAAAAATGGAAAGACATGCCATGTTTGATTAGAAGACAATACTGTGAAGATTACAATACTACCCAAAGGAATATACAGATTCAATAGAATTCCCATGAAAATCCCAACAAGGTTTTTCCCCCAGAAATGAAAAAAATCCATCTTAATATTCATATGGAATCTAAAGAGACCAAGATTAGTCAAAACAATCTTGAAAAAGAAGAACAGGGTTGGAGGACTCACATTTTCTGGTTTCAAAACATATTATAATCTACAGTAATCAAAACAGTGATGTACTGGCATAGGGTTAGACATATAGATCATGGAATAGAACTGAGAGCCCAGAAACAAACCCTCACATCTATTGTCGATTGATTTAAAAGGCAAGAGTCCAAGACCATTCACTGGAGAAAGAATAGTCTCTTCAACAAATGAAACTGCCAAATCTGGGTATCACAGGCAAAAGAATGAAGTTGGACTTTTACCTTATACCATATACAAAGATTAACTCAAAAA